TATTATAAACACAAAATTCAATTAGCTAGTTAGATAGGCATGTTATATTAAAAGTTATTCGAGGTCGATTCGATATTCGGCGGCAAGGAGGAAGTGAATCTTGTGTATATTCAGTAGCGCAGCATTTTTACGGGGATGAAATAATCTTGGCCCCTTTGTACAACTCGGCCGTCTAAAAAAAAACTATAATTACTACTGGATCCACGGATTTTATCCCATTTGCCACTGCGAAAAGACTTCGTATCTCGATCATTATATTTAGTTATCGGATTCGTGGCCAAACGATAATTCACATACTGAAATCTTTGCAGGCAATTTATAGCATCCATATTTATCATTCAAATTTATCTTTTGGACGTGACACGCGTAGATCTGTTGGATACTTTTATAAAACAGACATGTACACGCCGGAGGAGGCATCGACGAATTAGCACGTTCCAAACTGAGAAAGTGGCGAAACGCGCAAAACCGATCAAATCCGATCACCGTGGTTTTTAAGTAAACGTTAGAGATTTTTATATAAGATGATTATGTACAACCAAATAATATCGAGATTTTGACGTTTAAGCAATAAAACGTTAAACTTAGGAAGAAAAAAGGCAGCCATCGATCCCTCCGTCTCTTTATAAATCAATCTCGCTGCGTAAACGAGAGAGAGTACACGAATTCTTAACAACGAAAAAAATTAATAATAATAAAATGAAGAAGATAGCTAGAAAAGATGGTGCGTGCACACGTGTATTTTAAATTATTCGGGGAGCAGTAAAACGATCACAATATCCTCGTTGTCCCGAATTTCGACTTGACCAAATTGATACAAAAGAAAGACGAGACCGAAACTCGTATAAATCGCGAACATGTAAGCAATTGCATGAGTGCAATCGTACATATAGCAGAGCGCTAGAGAGGGAAAGAAAGTATGAAAGCGAAAAGAGAAGAATGAGAGGGAGAGAAAGAAAACATGAAAAAAAGACCGACCGACGAATAAGCTGCACAGCACAAGCGAGGGACGAGGAAAAAGGGATTAAGTAATTCGTAGATAGACATATTGCACAAACAGCACGAAAGTTAGATTAGACGAGTTAAGTTTTTTTGTTCACGCGTGCCCTGTCCGCGCGGCAGCCGTTTAGGATCTTGATCGTACATAGTCTCATCATCGACGTGCTCCTCTGCCATTAAGACTATCCGCTTGCTGGAGAAAAATCGATCAAAGGAGGTGGTACAAGAAATGAATCGAGGTGCTAGCACGAGTTTCAATACTTGAAAAGATGGGAAGCGGCTGGAACTTATTGCAACCCGTTTCCGTTATTTCCGTGCTCGATCGTTTGTATCTCCATCGTCCTGTTTCTTACTCTTCGTATCTTCTACTGCCTCTTCTTACCCCTTCGGTTTTAAGTACCACAACTCATACTCATTATATCGATAATATTTTGTCCTCGCTTTTTCTTCGAAAAACGTTCATATCGAAGCAACGAATAGAACTAACCGGGACAAATATAGAAACTAGTAAAATTTAAATCTTAAATATCAAAGGATCACAAAAAAATTTCGGTCCAATATATTTCTGTTTTTAACATCTAAAATATCAACATTTTTAAATTATATATTGTATAAAATTTTTACAATGAATCTTTTGCTGTGAAACTCTAAAAATTATAAGCTGAAATTCCACCAATTTATCTGCTTTATATAAAATACTTTTAAAAATGAAATTAAAATTTAACATGAATCTTTAATATCATTCATTGCTCCTATTTATATTGGAAAAGACTCACTGTTCAAAAACGTTGCCCTTTATAAAGTAATAATTTATCTTTTTTAAATATCTTTCTCATGACATATTTCGTGAATATATATTTCGTGGATACATAATCTCTAATTATGCTTACACAGATAGAGATAATAAAAACTAAAAACAAGAAGAGAAAGAAACAGATTCGGTTAGATTAAAAGGCGAAGAGAGCATATCGATGATAACTGAAATAAAAACGAGATAGGACAAGCAGTAGACGACTTTGATATTAATCAAAAGATAGACGGATCGTGCTT